AAAACTAACTAAAACATGAAAATTAAAAAAAAGATAAATAAATTTTAAGGGACTAATATCTAGTGTCCACACGCCTGGTGAAATTTTCCGTTTCCATATACCGATTCCAGGCATCCTGGACTGTTGTTCGAAATATACCCAGGGTATCGGAGATATAACGTTGACTTCGGCCATCCTCAATTAAAGCCACAATACGAGCAACATCCGTTACAGATGGCATTTTTTAATTTGACAACCGTTTTTGTCATATTGCAAATACTCATAAATCCGTTTTCGCCTATGTCGCCTTGATTATTTACATATAAAACTTTCTGCCTGCGAAGCATTTTTCCGAGACGTTCGTTTTAAAACAGCATATCTCCAATACAAAAAGAGATAATGTGGTGATTAAAAAAACAAAATGCTCACAAAAGATGAGGCTACAATGTGATTTAATTTCAGTGGCGTAACAACAGATTCACGGGCCTGTGTGCAAAAATTTTACCGGGCCCCCTATTACACCTACATATTTCAATACTTATATACTAATCTGAATAATATGCACTCATATTTTAGGTTAGAAATAACATTATCAAATTAATTTTTATTTAGTATTATTTATTACTGCAACACAGAATATGCAACCCAAAACATATAAAATATCAAATAAATAAAAAATAAATAAAGACAAAACAAAAAACAACAACAAAACGCTAAATTAAAATAAACAATGTAAATAAAAACATGAACATGTTAAAATATTTTTTTTCCTTGCTTTAGCGTAGGCGAAAGTTGACACAATATTACCAATGTCTATTGTACGGGCAACTTCATTTTCTATTGAAATAATTGCCAAAGCTGATTACCGTTTTTCGCCCATAGTATTTCTTAAATTATTTTTGACAAGCTTTAATTTGGAAAAAGATCTTTCAGCCGAGGCCACAGAAACAGGTATGGTGAGAAAAATATGAGACGCAATCTCGCTGAAACTAGAAGACGATGAAAGGTTTTTAATTAAAATAAATTGAGTGAGTTCAAAAATTCAATTGATTTCATATAAATTATTTCGGAAACATTGTCTGAAGGAGAGTAATTGAGAAGAAATCGTATAGGCAATATCATCGGGGTATTTAAGGTATAGAACCTGACCCATTTCATATATATCCTCATCAGAAACAGAAGGATTCTGCTTGATTCGCGATAGCATGTGACAGAATTGGAAATTCGGCCCGGGCCCTCCGAGAGCCCGGGCCCGTGTGCTTCGCACACACGGCACATCGATAGTTACGCCACTGTTTAATTTAGCAGTAGCTACTACCGCTGCTGCACCCTACAGGGTGTTAACTTCGTCTTATTGTTGTGTCCTGTATATGCTCAAAATAAATTCGGAATAAAAATTGCTGACATAGCATCCGTTAAGAAGGAATTAGTTTACAATTTAAAAAAAATCATCAAAATCTAATGAGTGGTTCGCGAGAAATCCAACTTTGAAAGTGGGACTAGTTTTTAGTGGCCGGTTTTTTTTGTCGGTGAGTTCATATTTTGTATTTTAGAAAGTTTAGCGTAGAATTTTGAACACCCTGTACGATTTAAGATTACGATATTTATAGCAAAGTAAGTATAGACCAGGCCTTAGACACTCAATAGTAATTTTATGGGACTACAAATTTAGTTTCTTCCGTACAAGTACAGGTTTCTAATTTATATACGAAGATGACATGACAGCTTCTATATTTACTATCATCTATGGTCTAGTTTTGATCTAGTTGTCAAAATGTTGGTGATCCGTCAAATTATTTTTAAATCATTTTTAAAGGTCGATTTATAAACTCTACAGTTGGCTTTGGATTTGGCGTTGGCTTTGGATTTGCCGTCGACCGTTCGTAGCGCCGCAAAATCGCATTTATAAACCCGACGGTTGACAGTTGGCTTTGGCCGTTTTGGGCAGATCTAACCTTACATTTTTGTTTACTTTTTACTTGAGAGTAGCAGAGTCTATAGTAGAGGTGGGCCAGTCTGCGATTTTTGTGGAGCTGCTACGCTCTGCGACTGCTCCAATAAAAGCACTGTGACAAGTAGCAGCGATTTTTCGGAGCAATTAACCTATAAATTAAAAATGTAGTTTTATAGGTTAATTGCTCCGAAAAATCGCACTCGGTGTTCGGCACCGTTCGTTGCATTTACTAAAAAAGTACAGGACTGGTGTGATTATGATAGGCAACATCATCGTTTAGTTTTTATTTATTTATATCGTATGATCGAAAAAAACGGCGTCAGCGATAGCTATGAGATGAAGATTGCTGGCATTTTATATGTAAAATTTATGGGGAATGTTATCGATTGTCATTTCCAAGCCAACTGGACGCCGTTTTTTATTTAGATCAGTAGTGGCGATTTTAACGTCTGTGCAATCGGGGTAAGTCACCGACGGGCCCCAAGCCTCCCGGACCCTTACGAACAAGATTCGAACTTTTCCGAACTACGGGCCCCTAGAGCTCTTTAAAATCGCGGCTGTACGGTACTATACTATAGGAATATATTTCAGATATTACGTCTATTACGAAAATGAATATATTGATTTTTCTTTTGTCTTAGTTTGATAGATGTTGCTATATTTTTTTAGTCCATTCAGAAGAATTTGAGTGTTTCTAAGTACCAAGCACTTTGCTATAAATATCTTAAAGAGTCTGTTCATTTTCACATAGTGGTGGCCCATGGTAAAAACTTAATGTTATATTCAATTCAAAGTCGAAACTGTCAAAAAATTCTTTATTAGTGACCGGTTTCGACTATTTAGCCATCATCAGACCTTAAAAATAGATATAATAATAAAACTTACATGAATGTATAAGATCAAATAAAAGATTTAGGATATACAACAAAACACAGATACATACCAAATTAACTAACAAATAAACATACTAACAATTTAAAAATTACCTTTGTCAAAAACATCTGTTTGTGATTAATATATAATACATAAATATCTTATTTAGATTCATGAAAGAAAAAGCGAACACTGCTACGTTTCCTGTTCCCAAACTCCCAACAGCTCCAGTCCACAGAATATACTAAATATACTATGCTCCAGTCGACTGCGACCTGCGACGACTGTGACTGGAACAGTCTGACCGGGCGACGGGGCTAGGAGCAGTTTCAGAATTTACACTATTGTCTGCTATTGCTCCTATTGCTACTCACGAGCGCAGATGTCCTAAACTTGTAAACTGCTCCGATATGTCACTGCGATTTTCTTGTAACTGGAGCAGTCATATACTGCGACGTTGGTGGAGCTGTGACAAAGTAGCGGACTGCGATTTCACAACCCACCTCTAGTCTATAGTGCGTTTTTAGAGACGAAAGTGTTTAAAGTTTTGGTTTTTTGTTCGAGATTTTTAATTATGGATTTGGAAAGTAATGGTCTTGATGAAATTACCCTATTAAGGGTTATTGGGAGTGACCATAAATTTGGAATTCCCATACTTCAAAACTAGATGTAAACAAAGCATCACGTGATCGCTCTTTACTATTCCATTGGCTGTAACGTCATTTGCTACGTGGTGCTACGGACGGCGAACCGCCTCGAACGGTAAAAAGTTAAACATAATTCAAGTCCGACGGCAACCGGGCGCCAAAGCCAACGCCAACCGTGTTTATAAATGCTCTTATGGTAATATACAGTTTTAAGAATTGGGCGGCGACGCCAAAGCCAAAGCCAAATCCAACTGTGAGTTTATAAATCCTACTTAAATAATTATTAATTCAGATATTCCTGATTTGCCGGAAAGTTCGGTGATTTGTGTTTATAGTTTGTGTTTTTATTAGTTTGTGCATTTTATTTACGGTCGATCACCATTTTCGTGTTAAATACTAAACTTTTTTATTAAAGACATTTTTTTAAACATCTTAGGAATAATATATTTATGAACAAAATAAAAAAATGTTTAATCATAAATAAGTAAGTAAATACTTGGTAAAATAGTATTTTTAGTAACAGTAAATTAGTAGTCTATAATATTTTTACTATATTATAATTTATTTGTTAAATCAAGAAAAATAGGCGCTATGTGCTCTATTGTTGGTGTTTAAAATGTACCTATGTATTCATAATTTTATTTTTAGTTTTGAATATGTTACACTTCTAATGATTTAATAAAACATAAGATATAGTAAACAAGTCTATATTTTTTATATTTTACAAGGAATAATTTTGTGCTTTAATAACGTTACTGTTTTAGTTAGAGTTAATAAATAACGGAACGCTAAAATTCTGTCATGCCAAAACTCTCCATTAGTTTCTTCCGGATCACCAGGTGGCTCTAAATGAAGGACTTATTTGTTTTATATCAGTCTCCAATCTATCTCTAGTACGTGACATTAGTCTAAATTAAATAATTATTACATATACAAGAACTGTCCTGAAATCAAAACTATAATTGATATTTATTTTAGATAGTCTATACCATGACTTCCTGAATCCTTAAAATAATTATTACATATACAAGAACTGTCCTGAAATCAAAACTATAATTGATATTTATTTTAGATAGTCTATACCATGACTATCTAAACAGTTCTTGTATATGTAACAATTATTTTAAGGAAGGTTGAAAAATATATAATTTTTATTTATTTATTAATAATCTCTGAATCTATCGAAATATATTTACTCATATCTTAGGACTATGTAAAATGATCAAAAATGAACCCAAAAATGCGACAATATACAGGGTGTTCCATTTAAAAAAAAATCATCCCAGTCCACTTACTTTTTTGAGCCACTCTATAGAAGTTAAAATATTTTCCTGAAATACATCCTAGTATATACTTTAGGTTTGCACTTAAACAAAATTCCCAAGTTTTTTTTATTCTTGAAGAGACAGATGCTCGACGCACTTATTGCCGGACCCTGTATAATAATACAATACATATTTTGAACCTTTATCAGGCAAAATCGTTAATCAACGATACTTTTATTTTTTCTATGCTAAATATTAAGTTATATCTTTTTTTTGTTATAGCTATGATAAAACAGAAAATCTGAAGACCACCGACTTAGAAATTCTGAAGTTCACACATCTCATAGTAGAAGGCAAGAGCAAATTCTCGGCAAACTTGAAGCCATTGACTGCCACGCACGACATCATTGATACTATCGAATCATTTCATCAGATATCCTTCAATTATTTAACCATACCTCCGATAAAGATCAAAACAAAGCCTGCTTTGTTTATTTTAAGACGAAAAGACGATTACAAGTACATTTTGGAGAACAGACCAGAACTGTTTTATGAGGAAATAATTCCAGATTCTGAGGAGCATGAGAAAACAAATGATCTATCAGGAAGTGTGGAAGATAAAGATAGAGAACACGCTAAAGAAATCTTACTAAGGGAAGAGGATATTGTGAAAGCGTCTGTAGATCAAAACAATAATATTGATTCAAAAGTCAATAGAAACATTAAAGAAGAAACCTTGAATGAGGATGTTGAAGCAGAGAAAAGGAAAGAACTTGAAGTTAAAGAAAAACGAAACGTTGCATGGAAAAAAAGAAACATAATTAATGAAAATACTGACGAAAATTCTGAAGATATTAGAATTATTTCAAAACCAAAGTTTTCTCAACGCGCAAAGGAAGTTGAAGCTAAGGATCCAACAAAAAACACTGGTACGAAAATTAAGAGGAACCTTGACGACATTCCTGTTCAAGATAAAGAATTTGAGCCGCGAGAAAAGCCACCAAGTCGTGTTAATAAGAGGCATGTTCTGGAAAAGCCTTTAAAGAAACAATTCTATAAAGACTCGGATTCAATACAATCATCTGAAGAAATCAGGGAAACTGAGAGACCTTTGAAGAAAGAAACATTTTCTAGTGACGAAACTAAGGTGAAAACGAAATCTTTCTTGCCTGAAGAGAAAAGAAGATCGAAAAAAGCAAAATCGTTAGAAGAAACTTCAGTTATATCATTCGACATTAATAAATTACGAGTGAAGCAGAATATAAAGAAAATCGTCCAGAAATACAAGCGTAAAAAGAGCGACGATGAAAAGCAGCCTCAGGCATTGAAAAAAACCGTTGATGTCCAAGAGGAAATCTCGAAGATTGAGCAACAAATCATTGACATTATTGAAGCAAACCCTAACATCGTCAATAAAGAGTTTATCAAAAGCAAACTGAGCGAAACGATCAAACAGGAATTGGTCAATGTTCTTTCTGGTCCTTCTAACGACGCAACTGTTTCAAAGACTGAAGATTTAGAGGAATTGGAGAACCCTAAACGCGAACCATTAATTGAGAAATCCAAAGAAAGTGAAATTACTGATGTTGATGAGGTGGGAAGTGCTGTGCAAGTATACGAATCCAGTGGTTTTGAGAATAATGAGGCTGAACAAGAGAATATGTTTGAAGAAGAACTGAGTGATGATAATAAAGCTTTGCTGGCGAAGAAATTTAAAAAAGCTACCGAAAGGCTCGACAGCATCATTAATATCATCGACGAAATTGTTGATACGATCGAAATTATCGACGAAAAAGACGAATAATGTCGCTTTTGTTTAGCTGTTTTTTTATTAACGTTTGGTTGTTTAAATAAATATTTTCCAGGTTTGTGTTTGTGTTTTATTTTAAATAAAATGAATAAGAAAATATGTCACAGGTATCTAATGATACTAAAAAGAGAGATAATTTTTGGATGTCCGCTCCTTATTCAAATTTTTAAGAAGAATTATTAATTTAACGCGTGTTTATTTAGACTCTGATTCCAGCGGGTTCTCTAAAACACGAGTACCTCTCACTCAGACAATAAGAATATGCTTTTTCAATAACAGTGACATTACTTAAATCACAAACACTCTATTTCATAGATCTGTTGAGGAGTCTCTTCTTCAAGAGCGAATATCTCCAAAAAAAATACAGCTATTGTGCTGAACCAAAAACCAAACTGTCGAGAAAAGATGCACCTAGATGATAAAATGATTTTCAAATTCCTTGGTTTTTTAACATATTCCCCAGGGTCTTCTGAACTTTCATCAAAATAATAACATTTTGTGTTCCCTTGTATAATTTTATTGACGGATGGGAACTTTCACCTTTAAATTAGAAAGGAGTACTAAAAAGTCAAATAATGTGGCTACAAAGAGCTTTCCATATAACACAACACAATCCTATAGATATCTTGAGGATATCCACCAAGGATATAGTAAATATCTTAGGGATATCCAAAAACCAGAGGAGGATATTTATGGGATATCCAGATGGAACAAAAAAAGTCATCTTCAAGACATCCCTAGGTAAGCCTTTTACGATTATTTGGGATATTTCTAAGATAATACAAGGATGATGTTGGGAGCATTATAGAATATTTTTAGGACATTATACGAGGACTGTTATTTGACAATACTTACTTCATCCTTAGTTTATAGTAAAAACGTTCGCGATTTAGTTTTATTTAGCCACATTTTGACGTTATTCATTGGATATTTTTATTAACAGCTCTAAAATATACCTACATATTAGGTCAATGAATTTTGCGTCAAAATTTAGAAGTTTATTTGTATGAGTTAAGAGCTTTCAATTTATACTGTACCATCGAAAAAGAACGGCGTTCAATTGGCTTGAAAATTACGATCGATTACATTCCCCATATAATTTTACATACAAAATAACAGCAATCTTCATTTCCAAGCCACCTCTGATGCCGTTTTTTTCGATCGTATGGTATTATACCAGATTATACTACCCTTTATGGAGTCTAGCAGTTTATGTCTAGCAGCAACAGTTTACATCAAAGGCACACAGGATACAGGTATAATTTCTAACACCACACATTCCAGAACCCCACAATTTAAACACAAAAATAGGATTTCTGTTTGAATAGATCAAACACGAAAATGGGTTTAGAGATATAGAACAAGCGCTTTTCAACAAATTTTCACCTATAATTTTGTCACAAATTTTTCATTGTGAGACCCTGAGGGTGCAGCCACACTATCCTAAAAACGGCGTATCGGCGTAACGGCGTAACGACCTTGAATCGATTTCCAGTAATTCTATTGGCTGAAATATTTGACAGATGAATTTGACAGATAAAATTTCTGACAGATGAATTTTTCAGCCAATAGAATTACTGGAAATCCATTCAAGGTCATTACGCCGTTACGCCGATACGCCGTTTTTAAGATAGTGTTGCGGACCAGTGTGGACTCGACTTAACCTAACTATATGTCCCGCCCTCAGATGACCTTAACATCGCATTAAAGAATAGACACCGTAATGATTCATTCGTTCGAGAAGAATCGAGTCCCACTGGAATGGACTAGTACATACGAGAACATTCGAAAACCTTCTCTACGCACCTAACGATCTATGGACTATTCTAGAGTTCTTTACCTGTCGGTATAAAAGCCGGCGGCTGTGGCCTACAGAGGGCAGTTATAAATAAACAGTACAGTTGACGCGCTAAAGTTCAAAATAAATTCTTAGTTATAAATCGTTTGTAAATAGTTCTATAAGTCTTTTATCGTTATTGTTTTTGTTAATTAGTGTTAAATAAATAGTTTTTAAATAAATTGTGACTTTCTATCCACACGGAACCGACGAAAAACGTAACAATTGGTGTCAAGTGTGGCGTGTGTGATAGACTAGGAAAATAAAAAGACAGACATGGCGCCGAAAGACAGAGAGAAGACAGCGTTCTCGGTGGGCACCGGACTGTGGCAATTTACCGTCATGCCTTTTGGATTGTGCAACGCGCCAGCTACCTTTGAGAGACTAATGGAGTCTGTGTTAAAGGGTCTATCCTGGACTACCTGTTTAGTGTACCTGGATGACATCATAGTGGTTGGGAAATCCTTTGACGATCATCTGAAGAATTTGGAAGAAGTTTTCAAGCGACTAGGGAGCTCTGGTTTGAAACTTGGGACATGTAGTCTCCTCCCAAGGAGTTGCGGTAGATCTACAGAAGACCAAGACAGTGGAAGAGTGGCCAATACCTAAAGATAAACATGAACTACGAAGCTTTTTGGGACTATGCACATATTATCGCCGCTATGTACAGGGTTTCGCCACCATCGCAAAACCATTGACCAGACTTACCGAAGGCGAGAGGCGTTTCTCTTGGGACTCAGATTCTGACGAGGCATTCCGAAAATTGAAGAAGGACCTGACTAGTGCGCCCATACTTAGCTACCCTCTTGGCAACGGAAACTTTATATTGGATATCGACGCTAGCAATGTTGCGTTAGGCGCTATTCTGTCTCAGATCCAGGATGGTCAAGAAAAAGTCATTGGATATTTTAGTAAGACCTTGTCAAAACCGGAAAGGAACTACTGTGTAACCAGACGAGAATTACTAGCAGTAGTTAAAGCAGTGGAACACTTCTACAAGTATCTCTATGGAAGAAAGTTCTTGTTAAGAACAGACCATGCTGCTTTGAAATGGGTGTTGCAGTTTAAGAATCCTGAAGGGCAGGTAGCTAGATGGATTGAACAATTACAAGAATTTGACTTCGACACAGAACATCGAGCTGGGGCAATCCATTGGAATGCCGACGCACTTTCCAGAAGACCTTGCGCTAAGGACTGTAAGCATTGTTCCCGAGCAGAAGAGAAAGAAGTGAAACTCCTAAGAACAACTGTGGTTAATGATAGTTGGCAACCCGAAGATCTTGCAAATGACCAAATCAGTGACCCAGAATTAGGTTTAGTAATTAACTGGAAAAACACAGGCCAAAGACCAACGTGGGAAGAAGTTTGCAGATATTCGCCGAACGTAAAGTCGTACTGGGCCCATTGGAATTCCTTGGTAATAGATAACGGACTACTTCGCCGTGTGATCGAGAGGAACAGAACACATGATCGAAGGACAAGAAGAGAGAAGGCAGATCGTCATTCCAAAGAAAAGGGTCCCAGAAGTCTTGGAGGAAGTTCACAATGGAACCAGCGGAGGACATCTTGGTGTTACCAAGACACTTGGCAAGTTGCGTGAACGGTTCTACTGGGTGAACTACAAAGAAGATGTGAGGGCCTGGTGTAAGAAATGTGACATTTGCGCAGCCATTAATGGGCCACAAAAGCGTGGTAAAGCCCCTATGCGCCAGTACAATGTTGGTAGTCCCTTCGAACGAATAGCGATCGACGTGGCTGGTCCTTTCCCGGAGACGAACGATGGCAACAAATACATTGTGGTAGTAATGGATTACTTCAGCAAATGGGTCGAGGCCTACGCGTTGCCAAATCAAGAAGCGTCCACGATTGCTGATGCCCTTGTTAAAGAATGGATCTGCAGGTTTGGTGTTCCCATGGAGCTTCATTCAGATCAGGGAAGAAACTTTGAGTCCAATCTGTTCCAAGGCGTCTGTGAAGTCCTGAACATCCGCAAGACCAGGACGACTGCTCTACATCCACAATCCGATGGGATGGTTGAACGCATGAACAGAACTATCAACCGTTATCTGGCCAAAGTAGTCTCTGACCACCAAAGAGACTGGGACAAATTTCTTCACCTGTTCCTGTTGGCCTACCGTTCATCCGTCCAAGAATCTACAGGGCAAACTCCAGCCAGCATCGTTATGGGACGGGAAGTGCGCCTACCCTGTGATCTGAAATTTGGTTGCCGACCGGGAGAAGAAGTCGCCGGAGAAGATTATGTCCACACACTACGTCAAAGGATGGACGACATTCATCAGAGAGTCCGCCTAAATATTCAAAGTGCTAGTGACCGAATGAAGGAACACTACGACATTCAAGCTGAGCATGGAGGATACCAACCAGGGAAGTTGGTGTGGCTATATAACCCGCAGAGACGTCGTGGGTTATCTCCGAAGCTACAATCCTCGTGGGAAGGGCCATACGAAGTCATGGATAGAATTAATGACGTCGTATACCGTATCAGAAAATTGCCAAAAGGAAAACCGAGGGTAGTCCATTTCAACCGTTTGAGCCCCTACCAAGGCGAAATAGAAGATCGTGCTGGGACCGTGAGAACCTGCAGCTTTGATCCCCCTGATTCGGAGATGTCCTTTGACGATTTCATGGCCCGATACAACAGCAGTGAGAAGGCTCGCTATGGTGTAACCAAAGAAGATCAACGAGACCTCTTTTCCGTGCCTCCTGATTATTCGCTCGCTCATTGTGTGGCTCGAGATTTGCGGATGTCCAGAGGAATCGCTGCGACGTTCAATGAGAAGTTTGGGCGTGTCGGAGAACTACGCCGACAGGATCCAGAGGTTGGAAGCGTCTTGAGGCTAACCGACAATGCACATGGTCAAGCAAGGCACATCTTCTACCTGGTCACCAAGGAATGGTCCCCGAGTAAGCCGACTTATCTCAATCTATGGAAGACCCTGATTGAACTGAGAGAAGCCCTGCTAAACAACAACATTGCACGATTAGCCATTCCGAAGCTGGCGTGTGGACTCGATGGTTTGAGTTGGCGTACAATCCGGAACATGATTGAAGTCTTGTTCAGATTTACGGGAATCGAGATCCTCGTTTGCTGCTACAACCCAAAGCTGAGATCGGGAGAGAAAACTGTAGACTGCTATTTCTACCAGACTTCGCAATGTACCAGGGGCCAGCTTTGCAAATACCTTCATTCACCGTGTACA